CCAAATTTGGTAGAGTCACGAAAGTTGCGCGAAATTACAGAATTATAACTAAAAACTTCGATACTACCGATACTACTGATACTACCTCGATATAAAACGATTTATTATTTTTTTTTTAATACATGTTATTAAAGTTCTGCAAGCACCAGGTACGGTACTTACTATTAAAAAATTGCCTGTGACAGTGTTTGGCACTTGCAGAATCCTACTTGTTACGTACAAATTTACACTGATAAAAAAATATATATAGTACAAGAATGTAAATTGACTATATAGTTAATTATGTATCTGTATCAGTATCAGGTATACGAACAAGAACCTTTATAGAATTTATAGAATTTATACGTAGAATTTATAGAATATAAAGAATATATACATATCTGATACAGTATGTACATATGAGTATTTATGTATGCGTAAAAAATAAAAATATTATATGTGTGAACAATCAATATTAATATTAAAATAAACTCAATCTTAAATATTTAAAATAGTCACAAAATTTTAATTAAACCAAATTTAATCTTTAAATATTTAAATAATGTAGCTATAAAAATTTAATTAAAAAAAAAAAAAAAACTAACCCACCAATCCAATCTCTTTCCTTTTACACATCTCCAATGCTTTAGGTTGTCCTTGCAGAGCAGCCTTTCTTAAATATCTAATCCCTAATTCCTTATCCTGAGAAACTCCTGCTGATCCATTATAATATAAATTACCAATATTATATAATGCAGTAGTATTACCGTTATCTGCTGACTTTTGAAAATATTCAATTGCTTCTTTTATATTTTTTTGGACACCTTCTCCTAACCATAAACAATGTCCATAACGTAATTGAGCATCAGCTAAACCCGAATCTGCTGCTTCTTTAAATAATGCTGCAGCTTTTTCAAAACGTTGACTTTTCTTATCTTCATCATTAGGATCATCAATCGAGGAAAGTCCATAATAAAGATAGTATCCTACCCAATATCTGATATGATAATATTTTTTTTTTTTTACGTGTTAGAAATCATAAACTAACTAAATTTGAAAAGTAAAAAAAATAATCGAAAAAAATACCTCGCAGTAATA